ACCAGGGATTTGAGGTTTCCAGCCGAGGCACTCACTCATCTTCTCCACAGATCCTCCCTCATCAGATATCGGTGTCAGACTGGAGACGGTCTGTGGCAAACAACAACTCAACAGCACTATGTGGTGTCAGGAGTGCAGAGGAGAGCACAATTACCTGAAAGAAGGGGGAGACGAAACAACAAGTCAAAATGAAGGGGACCGAGACTGATCACAGTACTAATGAGCCATGGATATGAACTGTTTGCTTCACCCAGCACTAGACAGGCTGTGTGTTTCTGGTGTTTACTGACAGGGCAATGCAACTTGCCCAGTGAAACTCTCTGCTCGCTAATAACTGTAGTTAAATCACTTTAAGGAGCATAATGACTGGTAGCATTGTACTCTTAATGAATGTGTGCTTTGACTCATTTCTACCCACATCTTACCCGGTGATTTGTTGTGACTGCCACTGTGTTTGCTGCGAGGCACCAGATGATGAAGCAGGGGTTTCCTCTCCTATAGCACAGTTTTGAGTGATGGCTGTTTCCTCTCAGTTGAAGGTACGGCGAGCACCACAGAAGTGCTGCCGGCCTGCTGCGGGGAGCTACAGTCCCTGTTCAGAAATGTCTCTTCAGGCCAGGCAGAGGCTGTTCTGCACGTCAGGACCGAGGCTCAACCTCAAGCACTATCGGGATGCTATCGCTTTTGTTTGTTCAAATTTTTAATCCAAGACGGGTCCGATGAATGAAACCGTTGCTCACTACAGCCATGATACACACCCTGCTAGATACAGGTTATCTGTTTTTCTTAAGTGAAAACCAATATGCAGGTGCCTAGCGTGAAGGTTTTCTGCAGGGCAAAGCTATCAGCAAGGAGCAAGTGCGTATGCTCTTGCTGCGTGGAGCTAACTCAGGGGCAAAGTTGTGGGACACTGCTCTTACAAAGCCCCAAGTTCAGTAGTGTTTGTAGGGTCAGGACTGCAGGCAGGGACGTGGAGGCAGATTTATCTTACTAGCCCACCTGAACATGAATTTGCTTCTTCAGTGCAAACCCAAGGAGAAGAAGCACAAGCATCAACAGCGGAGTATGTCTGTGCGTCCGTTTCCTGCAGTAGCTATCAAACCGCTTGTGCTCTTCATCGCACGGCTTAAATGTGCGGTAGTGCTGCATTTCAACTTTTTTCGTTGTTCTTTCTTTCATCTTTTCATTTCAAATAATGAAAGGAATCTGGAGTTAAGTTACTACAGATCCCTTCTGTACTGATGATAGTCTCCCCCTCACTTCTCCCCTTCCCTTGTCCTCCCACACAATCTGCGGCAAACTGACACTGATTATCTCTTCTCCTTCCTATGGATGAAAAAACTCTGTAATTTGCAGATGCCAAAGGCTGACACTGTCTTACTTATGTTACGTGAGAATCAGACTATAGCACAGTATGTGCTCATCTTGTTATCATGCAGCTTAGTTCTGAAAAACACGAGGGGACACGTTACTGAAGTTTTTTGGGTGTACAAGCCAAACATCAACAATAGCCACTGCCAGATAAAAGCAATTTCTTCTTGGAGTCCCACCACTGAACCCTGAAGGGATTTGTGCAACTAATAGCAAGCCCAGAGAGAAAAATGAGAGCTGAAACTTTAACGTCTGAGAAAGGATGCAGCAAAATACAGTGGGCCTTCCCTCCTTTCCCCCCAGTATCTCTGAGGGCTCATTGAGGGGGGAAAATGTGAATATTTGTTCCTCCATTTTTACAGAGAACGAGGGAATTGCCCAGATAAGTAATGTCCATCTCTTGTCCAGGCAGGTCTCTTCAGGACAGCGTATCTCCTTTGCAGACCTTCTCCTTGTTCAGTACAGCGCGCCTGTCTTTGATGCTTCACCTGAAAGGCTACCCCTCCTGATGGCAGCTGAGGAGCCAGGAGCTCACATCCCGACCCACTGCCCTGCAATGGGCAGTTCCCCCTCAGCAGAAGGCAGGGAAGGATGCAGCCGACATCTGATGGTGCATCTGGAGGGGTTTATCTGTCTGCATGCCTCAGCCACAACCACATAGATGGTTGTGCATGTTGGGAGGGTGAAACATCCACTCACGCTCTTTCCCCTTTTTTTACTATCCTGATTAAAGTGGCAAAAAAAGGTAATTTCTTCTTTTGAAAGTAGGATACTTCTCACTAGGTTAGGGGAGCTATTCGCCACCATCCAAAAGCAAATGATGCGTAGGAAATGCTGTATTCCTTTGTGCTTCTCCGTAAGAAATGAATTTGTCATTCATATTCAGATGCAGAGCAGTTCTGTGGATGGAAACACGTGTCTCCTACTCCACATTTAAATGTCATTTGCCTCAACTCCAAACAACTGCTGAAGTAATCAGTGTGTCCTGTCAGTTTTTCTGTTACCTTCCTCAATTCTTTATTTTTGCACCCACACATCCCTCCATTTCTCCAAGAGCCAATAATTGGTATAAATGTCAGTGCTTTGTTTGACTGGAAGGGACTTGGGAGGCCAGCGTTCCCCTGATGCCTGAACCTGATTGCCTGAACACCACAAAAAAGCTCTGTTAAATGCTGGCTCGAGTTAGACAAATGCCTGGCTTTTTGAAAAGAGAATAATCCCAAACAGGTGGCACATATTCACAGCTATAGTGCAGAAATCCAGGTAAATCCAACAAACTCATAAACTTTTTTTATATGAGAGACTTGCACAACTGCTTCTTTTCTTCTTTCTCTTCCTCCTCCCTCCTCTCCCCCCGAGTCCTTTCACCTCTAACACAGCACATTTGGACAAAGGGCAAGATGCACTAAAAGCTTAAAATTCTTCAGGAATCTGCCTCAGAGGGTGACCTGCTGCTGGGGTTAAGCCAAAGCAAAGCAACACCAGATCCCATGTCACCACTGTCAAGCCTCAAGTCCCTCTAGAAAGCCAGTAAAAAGTCTTCCTGCATAGTTCTCAACCAACTCACGTGTTAACCCTCTGCTTATCTTTCAGGCTGTATTAATACATTTCGGGTGTGGATTAACTTGTCCATCAGTGTGTTACAACTCAATCCCCCTTCAAGCTGGGAAAGAATTTTATTCGCTTTTTGGAGGAGATTAGCGATAGGCTAATTGGGGAGAAACGTGTTATCAGATCAAAAAAACATCGCTAAAAATGGTACTCCGTCTTACAAAGTACTGCTTGAGACTGTACTGCCTTGCAAAGACAACTAAAACGTGGAAAACACGTCAAACCCAGGGGCTGCTCAGCCCTTGGTTGGCCCCATTTTGCTAACGATTTCTCACTAATCAAAACTGCATTCCATAGAAATCGAAAACAAGACGTTTACAAGCCACCCTGGAAACTAGACTTATGTTTACAATGCAGCTGGTCACACAGCACTTCTTTGCAGTTTTTAGATTACCCTGCATATCTGCACTACTCAGCAGATATCCGATTGCTCTTGTACACGCTCCTCCACAGTTTACAATGATTTTTAACATCTCAGATGCCACCACAGCCCATCCATCCTCCTCCTCTCCCTCCCCACTCCATTCAGATGATAGCTGCTGTAGTCAAGTTCTGCTGCCAGAGAGTGGAAGAGGCAAAGACCAGCTGCATGGACGCTACTGAAGCTGCACCGCGGGAGCCATCCTCCTTCCAGGAGTCTGACAGCACATCCAAGGGCCGCAGAGACTTGGGGGCTTTCTCCACATCACCTGCTTCATGCTACTTAAGGTATCTAGTGGTCAGGTACCTATCAGAGATACCTGGCCTGGACCAGAAACCAGTACAGCTGTATCCAGGCTAATTTATCTTGCTCCTCAGCAATGCCAATTGACTTGTCTGCAGGATCACCACTGATATGTCCCTAGATGGTACCCAGACCCTTGGCAGGCTCCTTCTGAGCATCCCTGCATTATGTCCTGTTGATGCACTGCCAGGGAGCCTGTAGCCTTTTGGACAGCAAATGTTCCTGTTTATAAAGAATACCAAGAAATGAATCTTTTGAGACATGATGAAAGCTCCTTCAGAATAATGCCAGTCTGTTCTGAACTCTCCAACCTGAGTTTGAACTTTTATTGCTGACTCTAACATGTCAAAAACAGACCCTTGGTGCCTGAACACTTGTGGCCTACAGATGTTTCACGGCAAAATCCTAACATCGTTCCTGTCCATGTGGCTGTGGCTTTGTGTAGGTTTGGTACCAGCGCTACAGGGAACATTATCTGATGAATTTTCTTAGTCTTTGTTCAGATGGGAACTGTACATTTAGAGCTGTTTTTACCTGGGTACCAGGTTTGCGTGTTGCTACCAGATCCTTCACCATTTTGACCTCGGAGACTGTCACTCCACCAACCATAAAGATGATCAGAAGAGGATGATCACCAGGGTGAGGGCGATTCACCTGTAAAATGAAGGAAAGCATTATTTGTAGTTGCTTAGTCCAACTCCAGACCTACGGACTAGCAGTGATTGGCTCCCTGAGCTGCTGGAGGAAGACTAATGAGGAAGCTCAGAAAAAAATATTCATGGAATGCTGGTTTCTGTAGCAGCTGAGAGGGAAATCAATGGGGATGACGCCCTGTTAAAACTAATGAACTGTTTCCAGGGAAATGGAGTCTTCATGGTTTCCACTGAAACCTAGAGGAGTTTCTCATGAGGTCTGAGGGCTTCTCCCTCCATTCCTTCTTCATTTCTTTCCTCCCTTTCCCAGAGTGGGAGGAGAGTACTTGGGTGGATGCACAGTCTGGATACACATATGCATGGGGCTTTAAGGAATGAGGGGTAAATTACTACCCAGTAGAAGCAAGGAGTCCAGCCTAAACATGCTAGAATCCCTGCCTGTGGTCAGCAATGGAAGGAATCGTAAGTAATGAGTTTTCACCAGTCCAGCGAATAATCCCTTACAATTCATCCGATGAAAATAAATCAGGTTCATTACAGTATAAAATCGTTTCTAGCTTGTTTCACTTCAGAGTTTTCAATACTTCTATAACTGGGTTGTAACTAATATAGAGAAACCTTAGCTCAAACAAAATACTTGTTTCATTTTTCCCCCAATTATCATTAAAATGGCACAAACATTCCACTTCAGTTAAGACTTTATAAAACTGCGTTTTAATTTTAAACGTGAAGGTGATGCTTTACATCAGTTTCCTCTTAACCACTTCTAGAAGTTTGATTACTTTGCTGTTTCCTAGCAAACTCTTTCTTTCTTGATAAAACACACTCCCCTGACAACGCCTTGCTCCAGTCTTTGGGAGTGATGTCAGTGGAGCCCGTGCAATTGCTCTTGTCACACCACCTTTGAGTATGAAACACTCCAAATGTTTGGCTCCGAAAAGTGACAGTGAGAACAGTTTACTTTGCTCCTTTTTAGACTCTCCGCCCCCTCTCCTTCCACAAGCATAGGTTTTCGACAGCACTCACTCGACAGATTGAAAGTGGTCATCAACCCGTGTTTGGGTGGAGTGCAGTTCCTTTGCTTTCACCACCACGGCAGCTATCTTTGATCCCCGTGGCTCCAGCTCCTGAGGGTACAGCTCTTCTTCTCTTCCTTGTTGTGGCTGCCCTATATTTAGTCTTTGGGCAGTTTTTCATCCTGCAGCTCCGTCAGGCTTTCTGACGGGCAACCTTCAGAAAAGACTCTTCCCTTTGAAGCAAGCACGGGGCGGGGGGATGGCGTGCTCTCTCTCCAGGCTAGCTGGCCTTTGATCACACAGGGCTCCCTGTTCAATGCTGCTCCCCAGGCAGGGAGCTCTTCAGCTCCCCGGGAGCTTGAAACCAGTACAGAAAGCCTTAGATAGATGTATTAGTGAGCTGAGTATTTGTGTACTGGGTGTTTATTCTCTTAATCGCCCCCACTTTGCCAGCCATCTTCATTGAACTGATGGCACAGATAGCATACATACTACAATTCAGCAGGGTGTCCTGCAATTCTGGTGCAACATTGAACAATTTTCCATTTACACCATCAGACCAATTCAACAGATACACCAGAGCTTACAAAGACTTTCTTTATGCACTTTCCCACATCAGACTACTCCCTTCTTACTATCTGCATATAACATAGTGTCAGCCTCAAATGAAAAAAAGTCCATTCCTATTACAAACACCATGAGGAGTTTAAGTAAGACCCAAATATTTACTTACAAAGTAGGTCAGATAGAGTTATTACTTGCTAAAATATTAGAGTATTTCATGCCATAATTGCTGTAAGCAGTGACACAAGGTTAAAGAAATAACTGCTCGCAAAGATGCAAGATAAAAGTTGACAAAACTCTCTGCTACGGCATGTCAAGGTAATACAGGAATTACTGTTTTATTCCTTTTCATGGATCTTTGCTCTTAACCCTATTGCCAGAGCAAACAGCTCCACTCCATCTCATGAAGCTTTTGACTGACCTAAGATGTATGCAAAGAGCTCGAACTTCAGAAGCTTGCTATTGAATAAAGCCTCTCTTTCCTAACATCTTTCCTAGTGACAATAAACTCATCATAAACATGCACGCATAACATTGGACACACTGACAAGACACCCAATATAAGAGCATTAATCGGAAAACACAAGCTTTCATGGCAATGCTAAAGAGAAAATGTCTTGACAAATCATTTCCTTCAGTCAAAATAAATGTAGATCCAAACACATGGTGCCTATATAAAACTCATTATTTTCCAGAAGACTAAAGTTCAAACCACAAATTCCAGAAATGCATATTAAAAATACTATTAGGCATGCAAACTCTAAATTAAATTAAAATTGCAATGAAAAGGGTCTTGGAATCTGTAATTTTGTTATGCTATGCACAAGTGTTTTGAAGGAGGACAATACTTTGGGTACAAAATACTTGGCTGTGTTAAGAATGCAAGTTTCTGCCAAGATTTTTTCGTTTGATAATACAACCACCCAAGGCTCTCTCTTTTGAAGGAACTGGCTGCATGTAGCTAAACACAGCTCATTTCTGTGATACAGAAGAAGAACTGAAATGGACTGCAACAAAAGCAACGTGTATCTTCTGGGATCCTTCTAAAGCTCAGTTGTTTTGTGACATTTCTGAGGCCTCTGAATGGCCTTCTGAAATCTGAATTTTGCAAAAATCCCCAAGTGAAATTCACTTTCAGTTCAAAATGCCATGCATTAAAAAATTGGGACAGTTATCTTGGGCGATTAGAAAGACTAACCAAGAAAAAAGAAAAACCATTACATCGAGCAAAGGAGCCTGAAGGAAGAAGGAGGAATGGTTCCCTGAGCTAGCAGAGCATCCCAGCGGGACATCAGCCTTCTCTCCAGCTCTGAGCCCACCACTACTGCATTTCCTCAGGATGCTGATGGTTAGAGGGCTCTTTGATGGCACATGTGTCTGTGTGGAGGAGAGGGAGAGGGGGAGATGGGAGAGCGGGGTGACAGCGGTCAATAAAACTCTAAAACTGAAGCAGGAAGGGGTCGGAGGACAGGTTTGTTCTCATGGCAGATCACAAAACACAGCCTTTTCCTCTGAGGAAAGTCAGCAGAAACAACTTCTACTGCCCCACCAGGGCTACCTCTGCCAACCAGGACACCAGCACCAATGCATCTGGTATTGGTGACCAATGAGAAACCAATTAATTTAGCTGAATAACTGGAAAAAGGAAACCCACATCGATCACCAGAAACTAGGCTGCCATGCAAGGCACTTGGGATCAATGATCAGATACCAAGCTCAGATCATCATAAACCACGTGTGTTCCAGAGCAGCAGTCAAAAGAGGAATCCTTGTGACAGGGAGGCCTTCTCCCTTCACCTTCCCTGAGCCTCAGAACAAACACATCCACCAGAGAAACAACTTCCGGACAAGAGGTATCTTTAAAAGTCTGAATGAACGCGTCTGAGTCCATCACTTACCAAAGCATGTTTATGTGAGCTGGCATTTATATTCAGGCATTGAGGAAGAAATAAAAATATAAGGAAGCTGACAAAATAATTACAGTCCTGATGGTGCAGTAAGTGGAGAAGATCCTCTTGTGTGAGAAATACAGGCTGGTCAGAAACTCATTCACATAATAATTGAGCACTTGCCAACAAGCCAGGCTACAAACTAAATGAGCAACCATTTGTGAGGTATGTGATGATGCCTATGAAATACTCATCCTACATAAGGTTAACTTGCTCATCTGTTATATATTCCTTACAGTAGGATATTTTTCTTACTAGCAGAGATGCATGTGCTTACAGGTACACATTGCCATAATATACTTCACACTCTTAGATAATACTCTTCAGTGGAGAACTCAGGATATGCAGTAAGACAGATGTGAATGTACAGCATGATAGCTACTCCACACTTCATCTCTGTAGACATTTAGCGAACACTTAGCATAGGATAATTTGTAAAGCAGAGTAAGCTCTTGTAGAAAGACTGTCTTAAAACATGCTAAGAGCATCCACAAGGCAACTTCTGACTAACAGGCTTCCTTCCTCCCCACTGCAAGTTGAACCTTATCAAGTTATAGAAAAGGCACTGAATATGGAGCTCCTCTGACGACCTTCCTCCCCTGTGAGACCTGACTGTTCATACTTAGTTCTCTCCTATCTCAAGGCTGCTCGGTGTCCTTAAAATCCTTTGATGAGGTGCCTTGCAGAATGCCTTTTGGAAATCCAGGTCGGTTATATGAACTGGCACTCGCTTATCAATTTGCTTGTTGGGTGTCTCTGAAGAGCTCCGAAAGCTATGTGAGGTCAGACTTCCCTTTAGCAAAGCCACATTGCCTCCTCCCAGACATATTATCCTCATTTAGGTGTCCAACATCACCCTTATTTAGGTGTCCAGTCTCCTCCATACCTCTTGTTTTGTTCTGCAGGTGCCACCCATCTGTACTGTACCTGCAACGTGGTGCCTCAAGCTATTCCCAGCCCCCTTGCAAGGATTTAACTCTCCTAACCGCCCCTTAAGTTCTGCTGAACAATATCAACTCAAATACATAAAATCAGCTACTGCCATATGACGCTATGACCTCAGGAGAATCTTACAGATGAGCTTGGGAAGCCTGGTTTACCTTCATGAACATGCTGAATCCAGTTTTAAGGAGATCGGTGAGGCCTGATGACATGTGCTCAATATCAACAGGATCAGATCGATCAGGATTACAGATCTCTTCCACTACCTGTTTCAGCAGCGGTTTGTAAGAAGCCTGCACAAAAAGAACAACGCACTGTGAGTAAAGCTGTTTAGACTTGGTGCAACTGCTCTTCTAAATTTTTTATTTCCATTAAAGGTAACAAAAATAATTATCCTAGAAAGGAAACCATTCAGAGACTTAAAAAATTATTGAAGCAGCAGTGGTCTTTGTGACCTTGACCGCAAATGGTGTGCACCAGCACAGCATCAAACTGAAAAGACAGGAAGACGGCTACACATTTACTCTGCCCCATGTGTATCATATGAGTAAAGGGAGGCAAGGAAGAAAGGGGGCTTCTAGTTTCTCTGGACTCTTTTTGGAGGTAGTACAGAAAGGGATAGCAATAGCGATGACACTATGTTGCCCATTATGCACCCAGAAGATCTCATTCCCTTTGTAATGATTTTACAAACACTTAAACAGGGATTTTTAGGAGGGGTTGCTTACTGACCCCTCATGGTGTGCACCAGCACAGCATCAAACTGAAAAGACAGGAAGACGGCTACACATTTACTCTGCCCCATATGTATCATATGAGTAAAGGGAGGCAAGGAAGAAAGGGGGCTTCTAGTTTCTCTGGACTCTTTTTGGAGGTAGTACAGAAAGGGACAGCAATAGCGATGACACTATGTTGCCCATTATGCACCCAGAAGATCTCATTCCCTTTGTAATGATTTTACAAACACTTAAACAGGGATTTTTAGGAGGGGTTGCTTACTGACCACTCCTGCGTTCCCACAGGCGTCATGTCAGCACTGAAGCCTGGATATCAGCAGGGCTAGGAAGAGGCCAACCTGCCTGTTGGTCCCTCATGGGAGAGCAGAGCTAAGGAGTCCCTGTTAGTCCTTCAGCTTCTACAGCCAGGGCACTCTCCATAATACTTTCACCTGTGGAAAACCTTGAGGAAAATAGGCCAAACAACCCCACTGATATCATGCATGTCAAAGCTGCAGAGAAGTTAGAGACCACAAAAAGTGGAACATGTAAAGGTACAAATGGTCAGCATCCTGGAAGATCCACTTCCAAAGGATCCACCCTGCATCCTCTTCACGGTCCACAAACCTGTGCTGAATATGAATTAGTAGCCTAGAAATTTCCACATTCCCTTACTGAGGTTTAAACCACTCTACCATCCTGAAAAAGTTTCCAAGATAAAATTTTAGGGACTTGTGGAAAGATGCTCTTTAATGAAAATTCGACCTTACTTGGTTTACAGATGGCGTGTTGTTTTGTTGCTTTCAACTTTGCCCAAACTGCAATGGAACCACAATCGTTTCAGGAAGCGCAACAGTCTTAGAAAATTAGCAGCTTTCAAATTAGCACATTTGTTGTCCTTTGGGACTAGCCCAGGTATACATCATCCTCTAGATTTCTTAAGGGAATCAAGTGTAACATCATTAATTTTGTAAAGATGATATCTACAAGAGACATCATGCAAGATAAACATAAAAATGGATGGAAAATAAAAAGCAAGCTGCTTGGCTTGAAACTAAAATTTTCTGGAGTAATTAAATAAATGTTTTTTATCCAACACTTTACAGTGAGAAACATAACTTACAGTTTTTGAATACAAACCTGTCAATGAAGATTTATACAACTCATCTAGTTCTTCCCACAACATGTGCATAATTTTTAATTGAGCCAACAAAGCAAATTACAGCAGACATGAGCTGCAGGATCTTTTAGGAGAACATGCCAAGATTTGTGTCAAATCTAGTCACGCAATAAACAACTGTTTGAAAATACACATGCAGGCATGAAGTCCTATGTATAAAAATCTGTTTAATATCTTCATAGATGAGGAACAGAAAGACATTAGGAATGAAATATTTTTGGAGTAGAGAACAAATCACAGTTAAACAGAGAGGCTTACTGCTTGAAATCAAAGGAAAAATATTATCTGACTTCAGACAAAACTATGTACTCAAAAGATGTTAAAAATGTGCTATGATTTTGCATGTCTAAATTTTCAGCACCAAAACTCAATGCCCTTCAAAATGATCCAATTCAGCTACATGGATACTAAAAGGCAGATACTATGATCACCTACCTTTTTTTAGCTTGATAGTTTCAAATATTTTCAAAATCTTTTATGACTTGAAATTCATGTGTTATATTTTTAGGGAGTTTTAACTTTATTTTTTATACAACCCCCAATAGCTGCATTGATTTCTAACTCAAATAATGAAACTTTTATCAACTTTAAATTTTGGCAGGGCATAAACTGTGTTTAAAACAGTTGTTAAAAACCTCAATGGCTATAGGACATACCTCGGACAAGATTATAAGGAGAACAGGAGAGAGAAAAAGAGAGAGAAAGAAAGAGAATGAGAAAAGGAGAAGGAGGGATGGAGGGAGGGAGGAATACACTTGAGATCAAGGTGAAAGGAAAAGAACAGTAGTTAAAATATCAGGCAAAATAAATACTCTCCTCTTGCATGGTCGCTACATGAAGTGGTTTGATAACCTGATGAAAACATTCATTCATCATTTTATGTAAGACATAAACTTCAATGCTACAAAGGGTCCTTCTAAGAGGCTATCCAATTCCCACTTTCCTATAGAAATCTTTTTTGAGTCTTAACAAGAAATGGAGGCTTCCCTGCTCCTAACAGATAAAGTGGGAAAGCACCTATAGGCTAAACCCATTCCCATAGCACTAAGCCGGGCAGGGAATGCATGTGGTCACGGGCAGGGCGCTACTTCTTCAGAGAAGCTAAACTGATTGCATGCAACCCATTTATTAACACCTGCCAGTCAAAAGAGAGGTCCATTTGTAGAGAGTTGTATGTATGATGGAAAAAAACCCATACTGCCTGCTTATTTCTGCTACTCTAAACCTCCTGAACTGCCCTCAGCAGAAGGTTGGTCCTATTCAAGCAATTAAATCCATCTCATAGCCAGAGCAGGGGGCTGCAAGGTGTTAATACCTCCCTTGCTGTGTTCCAGCACTTAGCCCTGAGCAAACAACCTGGGTTACATCCAAAGAACATACTGATGCTAATTACACTTCCAGTAAACTTTTAGAGGATATTTTCTTATCATCCAACTGCCCCCGGACTGAACTGTATTAAATGTTTAATAATTTTCCCCATTTCAGACACCAGACTGGTCCTAAGTGCCAGAAGACTTCAGTAACAGGTTTTCTCCACCTTAGCTTTCCAGTGACATTTTGCAATACTCCCGACTCCTGTTGTTACAAAGCATTGCTTAATTTGAACTACATCCCTTTGCTGGTCCACTGCATACTTATGAGTTTGGAAGGATTTTTTTCTGGCTCAAGGCTGGAATCAAGTTTTACAGTCTCTCTCTAAATCACGGTATGTGCTTTCCATTGTAAAACTCTATTTTTAACTAAAAAAGTTAAAACACTTTGATGGAGACAGAGAGAGAGAAAAGCACTGTATATTAGTCCTGATGACCTACAGTAATATCATAGTTCAAGTGTTCATATTTTAGAAACAAAAGAGGCATTTTTCACCTATTTACAAATGGGAGTGCCTCTCGCACTTATAGAGATGGGAGAGAAGATACACAGGAATATAGTTGCTGTATGGATGCGGGCATCCTGCTTTGCTATGCCGTGAGAGCTCTCAGTCCAGGACCGTCTTGACCTAGCCCTGCCTTTCACAGGCTTTTATGTCATATCACAGTGCTGCAGAGCAAATCCTTAATTTCTTCCTCAGACAATTCTTTGTTGACATTGACATGGATATGCCTGAGTTTGGGTGAAGGACTTGAGGAAGTTCTTGACGATTAGGTCAATCAGAAAATCTATACTTAAATATCTTCCACATGGGCAGAACACATATAGGATTAGCACATCAGCAAAACTGGTGCTGTAATTTTGACAGCATGCTAGAGAAATAACATACACAGGGAAAAGAAAGATCCACTTGCCTGGTGGGTGCTGCTGCCTGGATTATGTATGGAATTAAACTGTTTCATGTTCATTCGAGCTCTTGCAATATCCCTGAGGGACCGAAAGATACCGTCCACTGCATCTGTGGCTTTCTTAGAGGTCAGGTTCAGCAACGAGTCACAGCCTAAAGAAATAAAGAAACACGGAGCTGAGTGGTTGAAAAACTTTCAAGTGTTTTGATAATAAGCAGTAGCAAAACGGTAACTGGGAGAAAACTTTAAATTAGTTTCATCATGTTACATTCTAGAAACTCAGGGGCTTGTTAGACAGCATGTCCTCAGCATGGCATGAGTCTCTGTAGCTAAGCAAGAAGCCATAAATCCTAGACAGCAAGCAAAGTGAACAGCACCTCTCTAACCACATTTGTAACCTAGATCATACAGCAATTTCATCAGTGCAGGGTAAGTTTTGCTCTCCACAGCAAACAGAAGATCCCATGCTAGCAGGCCCCGAAGAAGAGCTCCATGTGGAAAGGAGCCAGCTGGTTTGCTGGTCTCCTCGGGGCGAAACAGCCATGAAGAGGGGAACTGCTCCTCAGGCATCCTACCCGGGTCCTGGCTGGCAGCCTGCTGACTCCAAATGCATTTCCTACCTTTGTGACAAGAAAAATGGAAAAAGTCCATGCTAAATACAGTGGAAATGATAGCCACACATTGGGAAGAGCTGTATTATCATAAAAAAGTCCTTATCCCTCAAAGTGGCTGTGCTGGTTTTGGCTGGGATAGAGTTAATTTTCTTCATAGTAGCTAGTATGGGGCTGTGTTTTGGATTTGTGCTGGAAACAGTGTTGATAATACAGAGATGTTTTCGTTTTTGCTGAGCAGTGCTTACACAGAGTCAAGGCCTCTTCTGCTTCTCACACCACCCCACCAGCAAGTAGGCTGGGGGTGCACAAGAAGCTGGGAGGGGGCACAGCCGGGACAGCTGACCCCAACTGACCAAAGGGATATTCCATACCGTATGACGTCATGCTCAGCATATAAAGCTGGGGGAAGAAGAAGGAAGGGGGGGACGTTCGGAGTGATGGCGTTTGTCTTCCCAGGTAACCGTTATGCGTGATGGAGCCCTGCTTTCCTGGGGATGGCTGAACACTTGCCTGCCCATGGGAAGGAGTGAATGAATTCCTTGTTTTGCTTTGCTTGCGTGCGTGGCTTTTGCTTTACCTGTTAAACTGTCTTTATCTCAACCCACGAGTTTT